TTCTTTTGACCAAAACCTTTGACAACCAAACGAGCCTTGTACCTTGTCATGTTGTCGTCATTTTTCAATTTGAACACCCACTTGTTTTTCAATGCTTTTCTGCCCTTTAGAAGCTCCACCAGCTTATAGGTATTATTCTTTAATAAGGAATCCATCTCTGACTCCATTGCCTTCATCCATTTATCACTGTCGTTATGAGCTCTGGCCTCCTCATAAGTTTCGGGCTCTCCATAATTAGTCAACATGATATACTCTGATGAAGAATACTTGGTAGACGGTCTTCGACTTCTGCTGGATCTTCTGACCTGATCTTCATTCTCTTGCGGGGCTAGAGGCTCCCCCTGATTGGATTCTCCTTGAATCTGCTCTTCTTGACTAGGCTCCCCCTGATCAGCAATCTCATGGTCTGGCACATCTTGATCAGGCTCCTCTTGATCAGCATTATCTGATTCTGCAGGCACTTCATTGGCAGTTGCTTCAGGGATGTCATCGTGACTTTCTTCATCTGAAGCTAATGGATCAACTCCTCTGACTGCGCCATCTGGTTGTGCCTCTTTATCCGAATCCCCAATTGTTTGATCTTCATAAAAGACCACGTCTCTACTTCGGATAAACTTCTTTCTGGTATGGGTCCCATAATCTGTAACCAAAATCTTCACCGCCATAACCAAGAAAGATGCACGGTGTAGCTTTGTAGTCTAACTTCGATCTCTGCTCTTTGGGCACATGCACAAAAGCTTTGCAACCAAACACCTTCAGATGAGAGTAAGACACATCATTACCAGTCCATACTCTCTCTGGAACATCAAGACCTAATGGTACTGATGGAGATCGGTTGATCAAATAGCAGGCTGTCCTTACAGCTTCACCCCAGAACTGCTTAGATAACTTTGCAGTCCTCAAACATACACCTGACTTTTCTCCATGATGGTTCGGTTCATTCTTTCAGCAACACCGTTATGTTGTGGAGTTCCAGAGAACTGTCTTCTCAATGACGTATGCCATGTTTTACACAATACTCTCTAAACTGGTGAGATGTGTACTCGCCGCCGTTGTCGCTACGAAGGCACTTGAGAGGTTTCCCAGTTTCCCTCTCCACCATGGCATGGAACTCCTGGAATGTCTGAAACACCTGGTCTTTGGATTTCAACAAATACACCCACACCCTTCGTGAAGCATCATCAATATAAGTAACAAATATTTATTTCTTCCAAGTGACTCGACTTCCATGGGACCACACACATCTGAATAAACAAGATCTAACAAGTTTCCTTTCTTTGTAGATGGAACAGAAAAACTAACTTTTCTTTGTTTTCCGAATAAACAATGCTCACAAGAGTTTAACGACGTACCTTTGGCAAAGGGAATATGAGACTTCTTTGCCAAAACTTGTAGGCCTTTCTCGCTCATGTGGCCTAGCCTCTTATGCCACAAGTCTAGAGATGAGTCTTCCACAGCATTCAACTCACCTTTCAAAACCTTGGCATTTGACCGGTACAAACGTACAACAAAGTCGTGCTCTTGCTACCACCATTAAGCCTTTAGTAAGCTTCAATTTTTCCTTCGCCAATATGGTGATAATATCCTTGTCGATCAAGGGTACCGATGGATATCAGATTGAGACGTATATCAGGAATATGTCTCACATCTTTCAACATCAATTGGCAGCCGAGATTAGTTCTTAAGCAGATATCACCAATTCCAAGAATTTTGGAAATAGCTTTCATTCCCCATCTTCACTATGCCAAAGTCACCTTCTTTGTATGTACTGAAGAACTCCCGTTTGGACGTAGCATGGAAGGAAGCTCCATTTTCAAAGATCCATTCAATGTCTCTGTCAGAGTTGCCCATATGCAGACATTCACCAACAGACAATATTTCTGGTACATCACCACATATGACAGCGGTGGTATTGCCAGTATCATCTTTCTTCTGATTGTTTCCTTCCCTTTGCTCTCTCTTCCAAACTCGACAATTTTTCTTCATATGGCCTTCTTTGCCACAATGGTGGCATGCACCCCTGAACCTTGACTTGGATCGGCTAGGACTCCTGCCATGACTTCTAGGCCCTCTACTCTTGCTTCTTCCGCGGTTCTCTGTGACAAATACTTGGCTGCTATCTGTGCCAGAAGTCTTTCTCCTTGTTTCTTCATTGAGCATGCTATTTTTAACATTATCAAGAGTAAGAACACCATTAGAAGCAGAGTTACTTATACTCACCACAAAGGTCTCCCAACTGTCTGGCAAGGATCCAAGTAACAAGAGCGCTTTGTAGCTCGTCCTCGATCGTCATTTTCATAGTAGCCAACTGGTTGATGAATATTCTGGAAATTGTTCAAGTGTTCTGCTACACTTAAACCATCCTTGTACTTCACATTGATGAGCTCTTTGATCAAGAAGGCTTTCTTGGCTGGGGTCTTCTTCTCGAACAAGGACTCAAGCTTCGTCCAAAACTCGCGAGCATTGGTTTCATTAGACACATGGTGAAAAACACTATCATCCACCCATTGTCTAATTGTGCCAATAGCCTTGCGATTCATCTTCTTCCACTCGGCATCGGACATGCTCTCGGGCTTAGCGGCATCTCCTTCAATTGGCTCATGCAAATCCTTGCAATAGAGAATGTCCTCCATCCTTGGCTTCCATGTTACCCAATTGGAGTTGTGAGTTTGATCATAGTGCCACTTCCTTCCATCTCGTAGTACGAGCCAACCGGGCTCTGATACCACTTGTTAGGAATGTCGGTACTACAAGATAGAGAATGCACAAAGTAAAGTAGAAAATGGACACCAAAAATTTATGTGGTTCGGCAATTTATGCCTACGTCCACCAAACAAGGATCAATCTTCACTATATGAAAAAGATGAATACAACAAGAGTAGTCTTACCAAGCCAAAGACAAGGCTTGATGGATACAAGAAAGTAGGACACACACTTTCTATCACTCTAAACTTCACTCACACAATGTGTAGTGGAACACTCTCACTCTCACTCTTGGAGTGGAACTCTAGCTTTGGACTTGATCCTTTGCTACTCACTCTTGGTTCTCAATTGGTTACATCACACCCATATTTATAGGTGAGGGCTTGGCATTCTACTAGTTTCTAGTTCCTTCTTCAAACCTCTAGTATAGAAAATCTAGACTAGCCACATACTTGTAGCTTCTAGATCTTTCCATTTGCAACCAAGGAAGCTAGTACTCTCTAGCTTCTTCCATCAACTTAATAACATGCTAGAATTGTCTAGCAAGCTCCAGCCTCATCTCTTGCTTACTAGAATAATCTAGAACATTGATCATGGGCTGGACCATATACCAACACTCTCCTTGTCTCTTCATGGTGAAGCCCTCGCGGCTTGTGAAGGTCTGCTTTTGGATATGCATAGGTTTACACAATTTAATCCTTGAGAGTGATTACAACACTTCAAAGGAATTCCATGGATGTGTACGCCATTGGGCACATTGTGGAAGATTCCAAGGCTTTGCTGCTAGGGATCACTGGAGCTACTGCTTTCCATGTGCGTCACCAAGCAAATGAAGCTGCTCACCGCCTTGCTCGCCATGCCTTATCCTCCCCATGCGAGTGTGCTTGGTTTGAGGATCCCTCGATATTATCCATGATGTTTTGTTGCCAGACAGTAGCTCTTAGGCCTTTTAGGAATTTTCCTGTGCTATGTAATCCGCTATCACTTTTGATCTATTATCAATATAATACCATATCGTTGTTGTGAAAAGAAAAGGTCAAATAACACCTTGATCCCCCCTTTGAGTTCTTTTTCAAAGAAGGGGAAGCAATGCGTTTGATGAAATAACTTCTTCGGTAGGATCATCTTATCATGTCCTGTTACGATAAAATTCTGAATTCGACGTTCCTCTCGTTGGTCCTAATTAACCTTAAGCTCGTGTGTACTAAGAAATTCCTTGCATGTATAAGTTTTGACTTGTACTTCATACAGTGCAGTATCTGTTCAACAATTAACACAGAGTATAGCATCATCATTGGTTAAAGTATTTTCTGTTGAAGACTAGCTAGCAAAGTGAGGTCAAACTTGGTCAGTGTGTAAGAAGTTAAGACCAACCGACCGTCCCATACCATGAGAGGTTGACAACAGTTGGTAGCTAGCAGATGTGTGCTTGCACTTGTGTTTGAAATTTCTTTGAAACAGTTAATATTATGTGAAAATATTCAAAAAAATCAGAGAAAAATATGGAAAGAGTGTGAAATCTAAAATCCATCCCATGTCGAAAAAATTCTTTTATTTCGGTTAAAATTGATAGATTCGTCGATATTTCTTACATATAGGTTAAATATCGGAAAAAAACTTTTATATTTGGTCTAAACTAATGTTCGATATTACCTAAAGTTTCATTTTTAATTTCTATCATTTTCATTGAAACCAATCGATACCGACACTAATATATCCATCGATATTTCAACAAATTTGTATATACCAATATTTTATACACTGCCTTGCATGCACTGGATCAGACCATAAAGCTCTTGTTAGTCAATCTAATCTTACACGTTGCGCCAAAATGCCCATAACCTAGAGCTGTCCCTTTCAAAATCATAAAGACCACCAGTTCACCGCCACCAAAACTCAATGCAACAAGTTTTTCATGAAAAGAACGTTAATTTCTCATGTCACACGTAAGAAAATAACTTACATAAAATCCGTTCTCAGTCATGTGACATCCTAATTTAATAACGTATAATTTTTGTATAAATTTACCACACAACAATGTACCATTAGAACCGAAACGTTCCATATAAGTTGTTGCTCTCGTCTCCGCCTTACTTTCTTTGTTTGATCAATCTCCGCCTTTCGTTGAAAGCGCGTGAGTTGGAAGTATGGGTTTTTCTTGTTAGGTACTAAATTCAAGGACCGGTTTTAGTTGGCCGTTGAGGGTTAGGGCACCTTTCAAAGTCGTTTAATTTCAAGGTGACTCAAATATCTCCAGATCTCCAAATCTCCAAACATCTTCCAAATTCATTCACGGGAGCCAGACAGTTGGACCTCTGTAGAAACGCCTAGAATTTTGTTGGTTTTCCTCATCCACAAATAACACAAACAAAAATCCGTATCCAAAATCCCCAGAATATTTCCTCCAAAAAAAAAAATCCCTAGAATATTAATTAGATTATTACTGTTTATTTAATCGTTTTAATTAGCTTAATCAACGTTGCTGTCAACTCAGCGGGACGCACCTGCGGAAAATATCATAATTTCTTAGAGCGGTTTTCTCGAGGGGACACGTTGCACCCGTCCACACCGACTCTCTCTCTCTTCTCCCTCTCCCTCTCTCCTCTCTCCTCTCTGCCTTCAACTCAAACGACAAAAGAAGGAATTAACAGCGAACCCTTCGGATAGTTGGGAAACGAGGGAATTGTGGTTGCAAATTCCAACTCCCATTTTTTTCAATTTCTCAGAGCATTCAAAGATTAATCCTTTTCCCTTTTTTTTATTTTTTATTTTTTTGCCCCCTTGATTTTCTCCCTCTTGTTTTGACAAAGAAAACAAAGACCCGCGGAGTTTCAGAGACTTTGGATTCTCGGATTTTTCCCCGTTCTATCGAAATTTCATAGAGGGGGGCTTCAAGTTTCATGCTTATATAAAAAAAGCTCGAGCCTTTTCGTTTTCTGCAACGAGGAGCCTTCTGGGTTTTGTGTTCTCTGAGTTTCTTGAAGAAGAAGGCTCTGTAATTGTAAATGCTGACGAGTTTGGAGAAAATGATAAGACTATGGATTGCGGCGCTGCAATTTTCGGAGCTTTTTGTGAGCAGCTTGTTTCACATGCTGTACGGGTTCTATATCTTTAGCACCGCCGTGGCCGGTGATCTGTCGCAGGCGCTGAACGATTTGCTCTCGAAGCCGAACGTGAGCATTCAGGTGAAGGATGAGGTGGCACAGAGAGACCTGTCGGCCAATGGCAGCCTGCCACCTATTGTTTTGGTTCATGGGATATTTGGTTTTGGCAAAGGGGTACGTTTGTATTGATTTTTGTTCCGAATGGGTTCCGATTCGCTCTGCAAATGGAGCATTTTGAGGTTTTAAATTGTTTTTTGTTCAGGTTTTTGTAACTGGGTATTTTGGATTTCTTCTGTTTTGCAGAGATTGGGAAGTTTATCGTATTTCGCCGGGGCGGAGAAGAAGGATGACAGGGTTCTGGTGCCTGATTTGGGATCTCTTACGAGCATTTATGATAGGTTCGTGCTGTTTGGAGCCTCAAAAATTTTTTTCGATACAAGTGATATTGGTTGGGGAGAATCGAACTCAGGACCTCGATCCCCAATAGCTGTTTTTGTATTGTACCTTTTGGAGCTAACAAGGTTTAATGGGGGTTTTGGGGTTTCAGGGCTCGTGAATTGTTCTACTATTTGAAGGGTGGGCGAGTCGATTATGGTGAAGAACACAGCAAGGCTTGTGGGCACTCACAATTCGGTCGAATTTACGAACAAGGTTAGCATTTCTTTGTGTTCATATTATTTTGTCATTCTGTGAAAGTGCTTTTAGGATTCTAAAACCACAAAAGTATGTGCTTTGTTAGGCCTTATAGCAAGTGTGTCATTGCTAATGTGTGATTGGGATATGCAGGGCACTACCCTGAATGGGATGAGGATCACCCTATTCACTTTGTCGGCCATTCAGCCGGAGCACAGGTTGTCCGTGTGCTGCAGCAAATGCTTGCTGATAAGGTAAGTCAAGACTATGAATTTGTTTCAGACTAGTTCTTCTGAGTGAGAGAAACTTCGGTAGGAGGGTAGCTCTCACACAAGCTGAGACCAACAAGGGGGTCAGGCAGGACCAAAATGTCTCATGCTTTTGTGAGAGGTGCCCTACAGATGACGTGATAAGCTAACCCCTACCCAAAATTTCCATGACCATTCTTTATGTAAACATGCCTTAAACAACACTCCAAATCCTTAGAATAAGTATGACAAGCTTTAATTAAGGTAAAAAGAGAATGGCAGGAAGAATCCTGCTTTCATTTTTTACTGAATGTTTCATTTTGTTGACTGAAACGTTTGATTTTGTCTGCAGGCGTTCAAGGGGTTTGAGAACACGAATGAGAATTGGGTACTGAGCTTAACATCATTGTCAGGAGCATTCAATGGGACAACAAGAACCTACTTGGATGGATTTCAGTGAGTTTCCATTTCATCATCTTATTCTGTTGTCTTTAAAACTTTGTGTGATGAATACAAATGCTTATATAAGAGGATGAGTGTTGTTTTATATTTATAATAACACATTTATTTCATATGCGAATTGTACTTGATTTTCTAGTGCTAAAATTCTTGCTGTGGTTTCTGTATTTCTCAGGCCAGAAGATGGAAAAACTTTGAAACCAATTTGTCTGCTGCAGTTATGCCGGCTAGGAGTGATCATTTACGATTGGTTTGACATTCCCTGGCTGAAGGCTTATTACAACTTCGGATTTGATCACTTTAACCTCACATGGAAGAAAGTGGGTGTGAGGGGTCTTGTTGATTGCCTCTTGGGAAACTCAGGCCCGTTCGCTTCTGGTGATTGGATTCTCCCAGACCTAACACTTCAAGGCTCCATAAGACTTAACAGCCATCTCCATTCCTTCCCCAACACATATTACTTCAGCTATGCCACTAAGCGTACCAAGAAGGTGTTGGGTGTCACAGTTCCTTCAAGTATATTCGGAATTCATCCATTGCTTTTTATTAGAGTGTTGCAGATGAGCCAATGGCGTCACCCTCCAGATGTCTCTCCCCCATACAAAGGCTACAGGTGTGTTCTTAAGCACATATCGATAGTAATGGAATGCTCAAATTCAATTGCATCATGATGACTCAATCGTTGTGTGAATAATTCATGTGCAGGGATGAGGATTGGCAGGACAATGATGGCGCTTTGAATACCATCTCCATGACACGCCCTCTTCTTCCAATTGAACATCCAAGCCGGTTTGTAAAAGATGAATCAGATTGTCATCCCTTGCAACCGGGCATCTGGTTAGTACAAACACACTTATTTGCTCATCACTACTACCTATTCTTCATTGTTTCTCATTGAACAAAACAATAAATTTGGAATTTGATTACAATGCAGGTACTACAAGATTGTGGAAGCCGATCACATATTCTTCATTGTGAATCGGGAGAGAGCCGGAGTTCAGTTTGATCTGATATACGACAGCATTTTCGAACGCTGCAGAAAGCATGTATTTAGAAAAACTCCTCAGACTTTACCGAACGAAACACACCATTAGTTCAGCATTCCAGTACTCTCACACAATAAACTACAAAACTAGAACCTAGAATTCAAAACAAAGAAAGCTATTGAATTAGCACCAGCAGTAGCCCCCCTTTGTTCCCCTTCTCTGACCTCATGTAGATGTTTAGTTCTCCTGTCTTTCGATTTTTTGAATTTTTACCCTCACCCTCCACTGCTGGTACAATTTGCGTAGCTTTCGTTGTAGTGTAGTGAGAGATATTTATAGGGTTTAGCTTTGTACATCAGACCTCTCTGGCCTTTCCAAAGTGCATGTATTTGGAAACAAACAGTAGCATTCAAGTTACACTCCTATAATTCCATTTTCAGTTCTCAACAGTACATGATTCCATTTCTAAATATGAACATGTGCATTAATTGTCAATTTATACGAGGGATACAGAGCTCGGGTACAAAGTAAATGTTCATAATCACTTGAGCTACAAGCATGTCTCGACTGTCGTCTCATCACCCTTCTCCTTTACTAGAATCAAGAACTCAAGATAAATCTTGAATACAGGCGCCGATCAGCTTCGATCTCTACTTTTTATCTTCACAGCTCTACTAGCATTTATCCCAAGTCAAAGAACAAAAAACTAAGAGAGTTGTTATTGACACTTCAAAAAAAAAAAAAAAAACACATAACCAAGCAAGATTTTGGCCCATTCCTCTAATCCTCTTTCCTTTACTCCATCAAATCTGGATCATACGTACATTGCTTAGTTGGATAAAGCAAACTTGGGCTGAACTGGACCAACAACAATTTCTAGGTCCATACATGTTTGTGCTCTTTTTTGGTAAAGCCCAAATCCGTTTTTCTTTCTCATCCATCTCTAAAACAACATTTACTTCTAAGCGAGCGATTGTGCATCGAGTGATTTATAACATGTAACAGTTTGCATTTGTGTGGTTTACTACATGTAACAGTTCAGTCCACATACAGATACAGGGCAGGCTTTACGGGACGGCTTGTGGATGGCGAAGTCTAAGGGTTTGGCTTGCATTGTGGTGGAGGGTGATTAGGGTTTAGGTGGTGATTGAGTCCATGAGTGGCACTTATAACCCCCCTTTGAGAAGAAGTCCATCTTGAAGGATATTCGCTGGTTTGCTGGGTTTTTTGAGGACATTTGTTGGAATCATGTCTTTAGGGAAGTCAATTTTCTAGCGGATGCCATAATTAGTGTCGGTTATTTTGTTGTTGATTTTCATGTTTAGGATAGAACTCTTCCTGCAGCTGCCTGGCAGACCTTCCTATTTGATTGTACCCAAACTGGTTGCCCTAGGGGCTTTTCTCTTTAATGAAGTTATTTTTCTATCAAAAAATAAAAAGTTCAGTCCACTTATTTTATAAATAGGAAAAATCATTTTTTTTCTATTTATTATTAAGGAGAGGAGGATGTTCGAAGCTACTATAATAATCTAGGAGATGGGAGTTTCAAACCCGGATTCATGGATAGAAACTAGGCTATATTACTTTTCCAATATAGTAGTGATATCCAAGACAATTAGATTTATTAAAAAGCGCTTTACCACAATAACCGTAAGATGATGAGAAACGTAAATGCAAAGCCTCGGAATCCTTATTGATACATATTTGTCAATTATGTATTAATATTTCATTAATGGAATCATGCAGTTACTCAATAAGGATTAAACATATGGTGAATTAGCACTTGCATGAACATCATATAGATATCATTGGTGGCACACGAGGTTATATATGCATGTTTTGTTGATGCAACACAATGCATGTGTTGGGACCAAAGGAACAAGACAGTTGTGAATTAAACTAGTATTTGGTCGACCTAAACTGTATATCTTGAACAAAGTTTAACCCCAATGAAGCAGGGGAATATCTTCTAAAAATATACTAGTAATCTATGCGTCTTCAGTTGTGATCATTCAAGTCAAAATCGATCCGACCAGAAATAATTAATTTGAAGTCAAGAATCGAAGTCGGTTGGCCGACCCAATAAACAACTGATGCATTCATTTGTTTGTGCAATTGTATATATAACGTAAAGAGACATGATTTTTATTATTTTTTTGTTTGCTTACCGCCTAAATCTTAGTAGTGTACGGCTAATAGACATGTGGCTTTTTTTCGAGGGATTGTGCATTGAGTCGGAAATTGGTTCGATTTGGTTCCTATTTTTAGGAATTAAATCATGATGAACAATGTGAAGTTTAGCTTACTTTTCAAATCTTTAGCATATATAATATCGTTGCTAAAAAAAATAAAAATCATGATGAACACAAACACTGTGATTGCCTTGACATTGAAAAAAAATCGAAATAGCTAACTACTATAAGGAGTATGAAAAAGTAACAAGAAATCTGTAGACATAATTCATGCCATATGAAAAGATCATGCAATAATATCTTGGCAACATATCCATTTTCCTTCTACCTCGTTAGGCCTATATTCTAATAAATTCCTAAACAAGTCATAAGTTGGCCTTAAAACGATTCAGATTTTTGTCTTTTGTGTAGCATGATAACAAGTGATCAATTATAATTTTCTTTTGGTTGAAGATTTTTCTTCTATATTGTTAATTAGTGGAAAGTTAAGGAAAGTCAAAGTATTGATCATCAATTCAATCCCTGAAGAAAGGAAAGGCTAACCAGTAGGTTTAGGATTCAAGTCCTCTACAAAATAGTTATGGATGGAGTATTCATTTGATAAGGTTTTAGGTTTGACTTATTAATTAACAAATTCAGTACATAACTGTGTCTGGTTTATTGTAAGCAAATTTTATTATGCGTTGTATAAATATTTTTGTAAATATTTGTTTCTTTTTCTGAAAAAAATGACAGTATTCTCTTGAACCATAGCCCTTTCCACTTATTAGATGGACCACCCACAATTTGAAGGTAAATATGAGTTTAAATGTCATATGGGAGTTAAAGAAGAAAGTTGAGGTGTATGGATAAGATAGTTGAATTAGGATCTAATTATCATATTAACTGTGCTTTTGAAGCTCGTTATTAAAATTTATAGATCGATATATAGTGGTGTTTTGAGTGCATGCAATGGTTGACAAAACGAGTTCTCTTAATAATCGAATAGGTACAAGTATCATATCCGAACAAAACGTATAATAACTTTGGAGTATCATTTATCTTACCTCTCATTAAAAATGGGGTAATTGCGAGGGATCTGAATTCTTTTGCTTAAACCAACATGTATGGTATTAAGAAATATCGTGTAATATATTTACCTAATATGATTTATGTCAAATCCCATCAAAAGAGGGATACGATTTTGACATTGATGTAGGGTTAATTGGTTGACCCAATGGTGTATATATTGTACTGTAAAGTTTATCAATAATACACACGAAATCATTCAGTTTGCTCCCTTCCATAGAGGTAGATTGTCTACCCTCCTGTTTGGGTGCATTTCTCATCTCCTCATATTTTGTGCGATCACAGTTAAGTCATGTCAACATTTTATATGAATTTTTTTATAGAGATAATAAGACAAAAAACAATAAGAATATAAAATGTTGAAGTGGATTAATCATGACCACACAAATAGGAAAGGATGAGAAAGGTACCCAAACAGGAGAGCATTCAATCTGCCTCCCCTTTCCATTGCTTTGCCATTTAGCCATTTTAATATTCAACTTTTTTTAAGATGGTATACAGAGCATCAGGTTCTGGTGCTTGATTGCCTGCGTTTTCAACCTTCGTTATTTTCCAAACATCATGTCAAACACAGTATTTCAAGGAAAAGGATTCTCTCCTGAGCATATGCTCAGGATCCTGCTGAGCAGGACACGAGGACCGTTGGATGAAAATCCAACGGCTATAAAAAGGTGGATCCCTTTAAAGTTATAATAATTATAACCATTGGATTTTCATCCAACGGTCCTCGTGTCCTGCTCAGCAGGATCCTGAGCATATGCTCAGGAGAGAATCCTTTTCCGTATTTCAACCGTAACCACAAAATAGTCAACCCCATAGCAAGATCGGTGTGGATTCATCAAACCCATACTATGTCCTAGTCATATGCTCGTTCCGGAAAAATTGAATGGATCCAACTATCCATCTTGGAGCAAATCCATGATTCATGCTCTCATGGCCAAAAACAAAATTGGTTTTGTTGATGGCTCCATTCAGCGTCCCTCAGCAAAAGATCAACCAAAAGAATAAGCTCTCTGGAATCAATGTATGTTTTTAATATGGCTCGCTCAATCCGTGAAGCCTGATTTATCCAAATTAGTTGTTCATGCCAAAAACGCTCAACAGGTATGGGAAGATTTTAAAGATCAGTTCTCACAAAAGAATGCACCAACAATTTATCAAATTCAAAAGTCCATCACATCCCTCTCTCAAGGTTCCGTGACAGTCTCGACTTATTTTACAAAACTTAAAGGCCTTTGAGATGAATTAGAGACTTATCGACCTCTTCTCATCTGCGACCAAACAAAGGCATATAATGAACAAATAGAAGAAGATCGAATGATGCAATTTCTCATGGGTCTCAACGATGTCTATAGTGGAGTTCAAAGTAATATTCTCATGATGGCACCTTTGCCTAAAGTTTGTCAAGCCTACTCACTTGTTATTCATGATGAAACATAAAGACAAATGTCTTCAGGATCGGGTGAAAATTTTTCCATCGTTGCAACCGTTCAAAGTCGATCAAACTATTCCTTCAACAATTCCAAAATTCTCTGTTGTGAATACTATGATAAAGATGGACATACAATTGATAATTATAGGACTAAAAAATATCACTGCAAATTTTGTGATAAAAGAGGCCACACTGAAGACAAATGCCGATTTAAAAATGGGATGAGTGGAGGAAGTCAAGGGAGCCATAAAGCATAGCAGCGCAGTTTCCAAAGCAGCAGCAACCCACGTACTGCATTGTAGGTTGCCTATGCCTTTTCGCCTACTGCCAATGCAGCGACTAGTCCCCATACTGCTGCAAACGCAGCACCTGTCCTTCCTGAAACACAAACGCAGCCTTCACCGAACCCGTTGTAAGGAATTTCTGCAGACCAACTTCAACAATTGGCTCACGTTGTGTCCATGATGAATTTAAACAATACCTCTGGTAATAACATTGCTTATGCGAATGCAGCAGGTCTGACTCATTTTACTGTTGCATTCGTTAATTCTGTATATACTCAACCTTGGATTTTGGATAGTGGGGCTCCCAACCACATCATTTCAGATTCTACACTTTTCACCAAAAACACATCTTCACCAATATCCACTGTTAAATTACCCATCAGCTCTTCAGCCACAATCACTTCTACAAGGACCGTACCATTCAATTAAGATATTACATTAAACAACATTTTATGTGTTCCTTCTTTTCACTTAAA